TCACAGTGATTGTAAGCTTAAATACTGTCAAATAACTTAAGGGTCCAATAGGGTAATTCCATTCAGTCTCTAGTCTTGTACAATAATTGAGTCTTGCAGTAAAATAGGGAAGCATAGTCAGCTTAATAAATATTAATGATTAATCATATATATGCATATTTAAACACTTTATTTAATTATGTAGTGGAAAGATAAAAATACATTACTATACCTCCAAATCTATCAGTTTAGTCTGACAAAGTCAAATTACTTTAACAGTGTAACTATTTCCCCTCTGACTTAGATTTTGTTTTCCCATCTCTTGGGGCATAAAAGTATCTCAAACTAATACTAGTTGACCATAGTTTGATACAAAACTAGATTGTTTAATGGAGAAAAAAATTCTAAAACATCTTATTTTCAATGCTCTGTCTTATACCTAGGGATCTTTATATACTGTAATCAACAGAGAGTTGCCTTTGGAGCCAAAGATCTCTATATGACTGTGGACACGTTATTTAAATTCTTTAGGTTTAAGTCTCTTCATTTCTAACACTGTTCTTATAAAATTTAATTAAAACATGATATTAAGTGAAATAATCTAGGTAACACATAGCCATAGCCAAGTGTTACCTTTTCTTTGTTCAAGCCCTGAATTAAGCCCTATCAGTCTTAAAGTAGGAACGAATTAATGCTTTATCTTGTAGGTCAAGCCAAGATACAGCAAATGGGTAAGAACATATACTATTCCTTTTGTGAATATTTCTGTGGTGTATCCTCCATTGATGCCCAGCTGAAATCCCACACCAGCTGGACAAATTCTCGTATCTCTTCTGAAATCCTTAATTTTAATTTTGTGAAATACTTACTTTATTCTAACTACGGGATACCCTCTGTCCTCACTTTTTAGTTGATTTTTCATGTGAATATTGATTTTCATGTGAAAATGTGAATTTTCATGTTTTATCTCAATGGATAAATCATAAGGTCTTTGAGGTTAGGAATCACACACATATGATTCCTATATACCTTATATCACACACACACACCTTAGTCTAGTCAGGCTGCTATATAGAATCCATAGATTAGTTGGTTTACAAGCAATAGAAATTTCTCACAGTTCTGGAGTCTGGGAATTCTAAGATCAAGGCTCTGGCCGATTTTGTTTCTAGTGAGGTTCCTATCCTGTTTCACGAATGGCTGTCTTCTCTCTGTGTCCTCATATGGTGGAAACTCTCTGGGTGTCTTTTATAAGGGCACTAATCCCATTCATAAAGGCTCCACCCTCACAACCTAATCACCTCCCAAGGGCTCTCCCATCAAATACCATCCCACTGGGGATCAGGGTTCAACATGAATTTTGAAGGAACATAAACATTCAGTCTTTATCCTATCTCTATCTCTCCATATAATTGGTAACTATTGTTTTTGATTTCAGGAACATTAGTTTATACACTGCCTGCCCAGAATGCAGACTAGGAGGTAATAATAAATATTTTTGAAGAATTGAATATCCCTGCCACTAGTTTGACAGTCTCTTGTTTTTCATATATATGCTAAATTTCAAACACTTAAGAAGCAAATTAATGTGTTTTAATAACCCTCAGTAGGATCAAATTCAGTGACTCACAAAAGGCAGTCTTCTAGTTCCTACCATGTTGAAGCCTCACATCACCTCAAGGGAATTAAAATTAACATACGGGGGCACCTGGCTGTCTCAGGCGGAAGAGCATGTGACTTTTGATCTTTTTGATCTTGGAGTCATAAGTCTGAGCCCCACATTGGGTGTAGAGATTACTTAAAAATAAATTTTCAAAAATTAAAATAAAACAGAGGCCAGTAATGTACAATCAAGAAACCTGATGTTACTATCTATTTAGAGTTTTGTATTCAAAAGAAACAAAATCTTATGAAATATATAAGGTTCTAGACATTACAAAAAACCCACTTTTTCAGTATGTGATATTATATGAAATTTATAATCAAATAATAACTTCTGTTGCTTCATTTAAAGCATTAAGTCAGCCAACATAAAAGTCTTTAGCAGGGAAAAACATCACATTTTGCTGTAGCTATAGCCTGAGAAAGATATATATAGAAGGATGTCATTTGTTAAAAGGTAACAGTCACAGGTATTTTCTCTTTACTTTCATTTTATATTGCTCTGGTCAATTTCACAACCTCAGCCGGTACTGAACAGGGAAATTGGAAAAGGGCAGAATCGATTTGCAGAGTGATGTCCTCTTTCCTTTATACCTTCTTCATCAGGGTTGCTATCGTTTTTGTGTTGTGTGGTATTAATATCAACAGTAGCCTAGGCATAGCTGATAATTGCTAAAAGTCATTCTCTTAAAGTAGAAGCATAAAAAAACCCCAAAATGAAGCAAGGTGACTATGCGATTTTCTCATTTTCCAAATTTGCTGTTTTCACAATCCTTCATTTCTGCTAGAATTTTAATGTAAAGACTTTTCTACTCTCAACTATGAGTATAACAAACATCTTTCCTTTTAGTTCCTAGGTAATAAATATTAAAATAATAAAGCTCTAAGTATCTAATTTGAACTAAATACAGGTCATTCAAATATCTGGTTTGCTTTTTCAATTTTCATCCTTACTAAATTTTACTTTAAATTGTAAATATATGAGAAATTGCTCCATAGGATAATATAGTACTTAATGCATTAAGAAAACTGGTATACTTTTGCTGCTGCCTTTCTAGATTGGCAGTAGGTTCTTATAAAATTACAAATTAGAGCTATTTGAAAACAAAGCTGTAGACTTTGGCTATTTAGTATCAACCCTGAAACAAAATCTCCTTTGTATTCTTAAAGATCATTGAGAATGAATAGTGTGGGACTATTGGCTCAATTTTTACATCCTCCTCCTTATCCTTTTTTTTAATGCATTTCTAATGATGATGAAATCTTTACTATGTAATGCCATCTGCCCAGTAGAATGGAGTCTATTTACAGTGTCATATAAATGGCAACCTTGTAATTATAAATGTTCACTTTTTCCCCTATTTATATTTAGATTGGCCTTTGTTCTTTGTATTCTGCCACCCCCAAATTCAGAAATTTTTGTGGGTCAAAGAATCAGAAAACTTCCTTTTAATCAATTAAGCAATACTGTCAAGTCTGTTTGTTCATTAGATGAGAATTAAATGAAAAAGAAAACTGGCCAAATTTCTTAAGGCTTAGATACATGATGAGGACAAAAACAAATCGCAAACAAAATCTATATTTTAACAGGTTTGAAAAGGTTGCCAGATAAAATACAGAACACCCAAATGAATTTGAATTTTGGATAACAAATATTTTACTTCAGTTATGTCCTAAATATTGCATGTCCTGTATTTTTATTTGCTAAATCTCTAAGGATTGATGCCCTTTTTGTCTTAATATCTTCAACATGGTGAGTGAAGAAACCTCCACCATTTTCATAACTTAGAAAGCAATAGCATTGAGATCATAAAAAATGGAAATTTAAAGTTCTGAGTAACAGAAGTTAAATCAATTTTATCCATGCAGAGCTGTGCAGACAGGGTTTACAGGGTGCAGTCCGGGTGTAGACACAGTGTATATCGGTGTTCGTATATCCCAGCCCCAAGGAAACACCAATTCTTGTTAACTTGACTGGAATTACAGTATTCTGAGTGCTAAAGTTTTCAGCAGAGCTAGGAGAGCTGGATTGTTTTTCATCATTCTCTGTCTTTTTCAATCACAACTTAAATTCCAAATCCTTTATCAAGAAGCTCAACTGTTTGATCTTTTCAGAGTTAGAAAAGCTATGCACACAGACTAACTATATCTTTACTAAAAATTCCTTCCAATTCACTGATACTTACATTTCACTGGTCTACAAACAGCATTTCCAATGTTAGCTCATCTGTGCCTTACATTTATTATAAAATATTAAGTATCTATAATGTGCCAGGCACCCTGTTACATGCTAGATATACAACACAAGTAAAACAAAACATGCCAACAGTAAAATTTCTGCTTTCTTTCAAAAAGCTTGCAGCCTATGAGGCAGATGGAATAGTAATCATTATTCACATGGTACAGGTGAAGGACCTAAGTGCTCAAGAATTAAAAGGTCTTATCTAAGTTCACATATTTAGTAAGGAAAGAACCAGGGCTTCAGTAAGGATGCCTGGTTCAGGCTCAGGGCACCCTCCAATATTTCTTCAAAGGAAATCTCAGACTATTTAGTATCCAGTTCCCAGGAGTAAAAAAGGAAAGCATCTTGAATCCTTCTATACTGTTCACGCGCTCTTAAAAGTGGAACAGGTGTTCTCTGGGTGTTGGAGAAAAGCAAGGCATGAGTGGGAGTTAAAGATCCTGAGCAGCCGTTGTAACCAGACCAAATTAATCTGTAGAAACCAGAGCTCTCGGCCAAGGCGATGCTATTTCAATTGGGTGTCACAGGTGACTCATCAGAGATGGCTTGCTTTTGGGCCTCCTGATATTTTACTTCAGGGTGGAGTGTCAGATTTCCTTCGCATTTTTGGACAACAGCCCTCTTGTCCATTTCCAAATTTTTCTGGTTTCACAGCCCTCACGCAGAGTCCGTTTTCATACCAGAAACTAGTCACTGGCGAGAGGTTTAGAGAATGAAGAACAAGGTAAAAATAAATAAATAAATAAAGAGCCGGGGCCCTGGAGAGAGGCCGAAAATGGGGAAATTTGCACTTCAAGAGCTTTCCCTACCCTAGCCCCTCAGAATGACAGCTCTCCTCAGCCAGAAGACTACCTCTCCCGGCAGGCACTGCGCGCGCAACAGACACAGGCTGGCGAGTTCCCAGCTCTCCACCTCCGCCACAACCAGCCAATAAGAATCACCTGCGTAGGCCTCCGCCCTACTCGGACCACGCGGGAGCGGGGGCAATAAAACTACACTTCCCGAAAGGCCTTGCGCACACCATGGCCAATAGGAACACGGAACTCGGAGGCTAGGGGCGGAGCCGGATGCATAGGCCACCCCATTGGCCAGGTGAAGCTTAGAAGAGCCGGAACCCGGGAGCGAGAGAAGCGAAATGACATTTCCTCTTTAAATAGCTGGAGCCGGGGCCCCGTGGAGAAATGGCCGCGTCGGCAGGTGGGTCTAGTGGTGGCTAGGGAGGTGTGTTGCGGGGGAGGTGGGCCGGGGTCCAGGCTCAGGTTGCGAGCTGAGGAGGTGGCGATGAAGAGCCGGAGAGAAGGATGGGGAGGTGGAGAGGGATGAGGGGAGGGAGGATGGATGGCGTGGAGGGCGGTGGGCGGTCCGGCCGGGCAGCGATGGGGAGGCCGGGTACCCGCCGCCACTTTGACCAGTTCAGCAGGCGGTTGAGGGGGGCACTGGCGGCCGCCATCCATCGAACTTCCCTCGTGAGGCTTCTGCCCTCCGCTCTTGGCTGGGACGTTCTGGCTCTCGGCGGAGTCGCCGCAGACACCGCGCCTGTTCTGCCTGCACAGTCCCTCCGCGAGCACGGCGCATCGGGCTCGCCGGGCTCCGGAGGAGCAAGCTGGGGTTTGAACTTGCATCGCAGCTCTTTCTCCCAGCTCTCACCCGGCGGCCCCATTTGGTGGTGTATATATACATGTATGTATTTTTGTAGGCGGGGAGTACGGCGCGTAGGGGGAAGCGTGAACGCCGTAACTGGCTCCGAACTTCTTGTGGTTGTACGATTTTTCTCCTAGATTTAAGTAAGTCTTCCCCAACACCGAATGGGATTCCATCTTCAGACACAGCCAACGATGCCATGGACCCCTTGCATGCGTGCAGTGTTCTTAAGCAACTCAAAACAATGTACGATGAAGGACAGTTGACAGACATTGTAGTGGAAGTGGATCACGGGAAAACATTTTCCTGTCATAGAAACGTTCTTGCAGCAATCAGCCCTTACTTCAGGTATGATGATGGTAGAAACTTCTGTTGATCTCTTCATCGAGTTCCCTTTCTTTATCCCTCAGGGTTGCCCACTTTGATTATAAAACGGAAATGAGACAAATGAAACCAATGAGTTTGTTTCCTGAAAATGAATAACAGGCCCTATTTATTGAGCCCTGGTTTTTGACTTGACAGATTCTTAGAGAATTCAGGTCGTTGATTTTTAAGTTAGTGAGTATATTTTTGTTTGTTTCAGGTATACAACTACAAAATCTAGACTTGTGCTGCTCAGTCATTGTTTTAAATTAAATAAAATTAAAAATTCAGTTCCTCAGGCAAACTAACGACATTTAAACTGCCCAGTAGCCACATGGAGGTAGTAGCTGCCAGTTGTACAGCTCAGTTATAGAGCATTTCCATCACTGAAAGTTTTAGTGGACGGTGCTGATATCGAATTTGTTCCAAAAATTTATCCATGAGGCGTAGTTCTCTGGTGACTGTAACTCTTAGAATTTAAAACATAATAGTGCATTCTTTTGAAAACAAACTGCCATTCAGTAGATTGTTTTAATGCCATGGGGGTTAAAGCAATGAAATAAAAATGAATGAATGTATCTTGGGCTTCAGATTAATGATTATTTCCATGATTTCCAGAAGTGTTTTTAAGCTTTCATTTTCATTAAATTCTTCTTTGTGTATCAAAACGTTGGAACGGTAAAATTTCAAAACTGGGGTTTAACAAAGAATTTCATACTTTGAGAAGAGATCACTGATAAAGACAATTTCCTGCTTGAATTTAACTTCCTTTGTTTCAAGTGCTCACTTTTTTAAGCCTTTCGGTGTTCAAAAATGGTGCCTGAATGACAGTGAGATCATCTCAACTACACTCTAAAGGTGTTTTTTTGTTTTTGTTTTTTCTTTTGAAGGTGCTTACCTTTATAGGGCATATAGCAGTATAATGTTCCAGACAGTAGTTTCTGGTTCCTCTTTCTCAGAATACTGGGTTAAATATAGTCACTTCAGTCTGATGCTTATGATGTAACCATTTAGACTTGCCTAGGGATAGGTCATTGGACTGTTAAGTATTAACCATCACAAGGGAGTGAGCTGGAAGGAAAAAAAGAAGAAACTCATATACACAGAAGGTATGAAGTTTGGCCTGGTAATGGAAACTACTGGTGGGATTCGCTTATCCAGACGATTCATTAGATATGGTTAGTTCATCTGTGCATTTAGATATGTGTCATAATTACTACTTACCAAGTTCTGGGCTAAGCTTACTTTACATATATTGCTTTATATATCTTTACCATTCTGTCTCTGCACAGTTATTCCCATTTTACATGTGAAAAACTGAGGTTTGGGCAAGTTAAATGACCTACCTAAATCATCTAACTACTAAGTGGCAGAGGCTGGATTTGATTCCAAGTCAGGCTTCTTAGTCACTATTAGGACTTTTAATGAACAAGAGTCGGTCCCTTTAAAGTTGCCTTTGAGAAGTTTCTATTGTATATTAGATTTGAATAGTTTAAAAAAAATTGAAACTTGAAAAAATGCCTGTATTTTACTGAAATTTTATACTCTGGCTTGTAATTAAAATTAGTTTGAAGACTTAGACAAATCACTTTAAAAGAAGTATGCTACAGTAGATTTTCTTAATTACAAGAAATTAAGGAAATGGTTAGAAAACTTCCTAAGCATAAGATACATGAATTCAGATGAAGGTATTTGGCTAAAAAACTCAAGGATTAGGTTCTTATCTCTTGCTAGAGGCTTTTGTACAGAAGTTTCTTGGCACTGATGCTGCTCCTTATGTGAGATCTAGGAAGACGTACTTAATAGTTTCTAAGTCTTGCATCACTGGTGGAAAAAAATAAAAATAGCTTGAAATCTGGCATGGCTGTTTCATGATCCCAGTGACTTGTCAGAATTAAAATTTGCATGATTATTGGAAACTTTCTACTGCTCAGGATTTTGTGCGAGGAAATGATCCATCTTTATGTGGCATTTACAGAAGGATCCTGTTAGAACAGAGGAGAGCTCATAAAGTGTCACACTGCTCCTGTGTGTGAGGCCAGCCTATTCAAGTCAGTAGAGTTCCCATGATAAAGGGGTATGTGGTAATGTTCTCCTTTGGGAGTTAATCTTTGCCTAATGAAGGGCTTTATTTTTCTTTTTAATTGGTAGATGTATGTATAGCTGTGTTTTTCAGCACCTGAAATGCAAAACCAGCTCATACATTGGGAGATCTAGTTTTCAATCATGAAAAAAAGCATGTGTGATATTAAGCTTAAAATTTATGTTGTAGAAGTCAAAGTAGGACTCGGAGATGGTTCATCCAGGTAGCAAGCTGGATCCTTGTACCCATGTATATCCCCATGTTTCTCACTGTATTTTAAAATTAACTGTTTAAGGATATATTTTTTTTATAACCTAGCACTTCAAAATGAGAGGGGTCTGGATCTGTATAAAGAACTTTATCACCAATGTCAGGTCAGTTTCTTCAACAGACATTTAGTAAGCACCCTAGGGCACACAACCCTTTTCCCAAAAGGCTTTTTAAAAGAACTTTGATTTGATTTTTATATTTAATTTTAAGAACAGCCTAGAAAGAAACCTTAAAGGGGGGGGAAGGCAAATGATATATATAAAGGACTAATAGTAAAATACAGAGCCAGGCTTTTGGGTACTTAATGTTTTGCCCAAGAAAGTCCCATAAATGCACAGATATTTTAAATTAGAATTAAGTAAGTGTATAAATAAATAAATTTGCTTTCAAAGGCAAAAGCTTGGGATTTTCAAAACCATTATCTCCAAAGCATCAATTAATTCTTAAACTCTCTTTAGAAGTATGCATTCTATTAACCCTACTATAATCTTTATTTATATTCAGATATACATAGGTAAAATATGGTAGCTTTGAGAAAATTGAGTATATTTCTTTACGTAAAGGTTTTCAAAATGTCCAAGAGAAAGTGAAGTGGCTCTTTTTTTTTTTTTTTTAAGATTTTATTTGAGAGAGAGAGAGAGTGAGAGAGGGAACACAAGCAGGGGGAGTGGGAGGGAGAAGCAGGCTTCCTGCGGAGCAGGGAGCCCTTGACACGGGGCTCGATCTCAGGACCCCAGGATCATGACCCAAGCCGAGGGCAGACACTTAACAACTGAGCCACCCAGGCACCCCTGAAGTGATGTTCTTTATATTCCTTATAATGATTAAGGAAGCATTCAAAAGATCATAGTTTTAAAAGGAAGTAGGTAGAGAATATGAACTTCTGAAGAACATCTTGTCTTTCTGAGATCAAATTTTTAAAGATATATTTCAGGGACAAGTTGCCTTGTACATTTCCACTGGGACATGAAAAGTTTAATCAGACAGTCTATATATGCTAATGTGTCACATTGACACCTATAGGTATTAAATTTTCTGATTATTCTGGTGAGTTAAGATCTCAAGTCCATAAGGCAACTTGACCAGAAGCCTGAATAGGGGCTCCAAGGAAAATAAGGTGTCCTGGAATATTCCATGCCATCTTTCAGTGTGCTTTAATTAGGTATACTCTCTTTTTTTCAGTGTTGGCATAAAGCGGATGTGATATGATGAGCACTGGGTGTTATATGCAACTGTTGAATTATTGAACTCTATGTCTGAAACTAATGATATACTACATGTTGGCTAATTGAATTTAAATTTAAAAAAAATGAAAAAGAAAAAAAGCGGTCTGGCCCTGAGAATAGAATTTTTGAGATTAGCTAGATTGAATTCTTATGCTAGATGATCAGCTTTTACCCCCATTCAGAATATCAGGAAACACATTAGGAAGGATTTTTCAGTCTCCAAGGTTATCTTTGTGGTAACTGTATACTTTAAAAAACTTGTCACAATAATTTTTATTTGGAGTGCACATATACTATTAACCACTCTTTCCTTCCTAGATCCATGTTCACTAGCGGCCTTACAGAAAGTACTCAAAAAGAAGTTCGAATAGTTGGTGTTGAAGCTGAATCAATGGATTTAGTGTTGAACTATGCCTACACCTCCAGAGTGGTTCTGACAGAGGCCAATGTTCAAGCCTTGTTCACTGCAGCTAGCATCTTCCAGATTCCTTCCATCCAAGACCAATGTGCTAAGTACATGATCAGTCATTTAGACCCACAGAATTCTATTGGGGTCTTCATCTTTGCTGATCATTATGGTCATCAGGAACTCGGAGATCGATCAAAAGAATACATTCGTAAAAAGTTCCTGTGTGTCACCAAAGAACAAGAGTTTCTCCAGTTGACAAAAGATCAACTGATAAGTATCCTAGACAGTGATGATTTAAATGTAGCCCGAGAAGAGCATGTTTATGAAAGCATCGTAAGGTGGTTTGAACATGAACAGAATGAAAGAGAAGCGCATCTTCCAGAAATTTTTGCCAAATGCATACGTTTTCCTCTGATGGAAGATGCCTTTATAGAGAAAATTCCACCTCAGTTTGCACAGGCTATAGCCAAAAGCTATGTAGAAAAGGGCCCATCCAATACCAATGGCTGCACACAGAGACTTGGAATGACTGCATCTGAAATGATCATATGTTTTGATGCTGCCCACAAACACTCAGGAAAGAAGCAAACAGTGCCTTGTCTAGATATAGTCACAGGAAGAGTGTTTAAGCTATGCAAACCACCAAATGATCTAAGAGAAGTTGGGATTCTTGTATCACCAGATAATGACATTTACATTGCAGGAGGGTACCGGCCCAGCAGCAGCGAGGTCTCCATCGACCATAAGGCAGAAAATGATTTCTGGATGTATGACCATTCCACCAATAGGTGGCTTTCCAAACCCCCCTTGCTGCGAGCCAGAATAGGCTGCAAACTGGTGTATTGCTGTGGTAAGATGTATGCAATTGGAGGTCGTGTTTATGAAGGTGACGGGAGAAACTCACTGAAATCCGTGGAGTGCTATGACAGCAGAGAGAATTGCTGGACCAGCGTCTGCGCAATGCCTGTTGCAATGGAGTTTCATAACGCTGTGGAGTACAAAGAGAAGATCTATGTTTTACAGGGTAGGTGCCTGACTGGTTTATTCTCCAGGAGAGGGGAGCAGGTCAAACGTGGTTTCCTTACTTATACTAAAACAGATGTTTGTTCTTAATTGAGACTCCTCTGGCTTTGTTATCATAAACTGTTTGTTGCAACAGTCTGTTCTTTAAAGGATGTATAAAGGCAATAAACTTTTGAATCAAAAAAGGCAGGCATCTTTAAGTTACTAAAATGATCCTGTAAGTTTTTTATGTTCTTACTGTGTTTTGACATCATGGAGGATAAGTATTTTTGAAAACATAATTTAGTGAATCCTAGTTCAGCATTTTGGGAGGACATTCAGAGCCATTTTTAAGACTCTAAGCTTGATACAAGACTATTTTACTCTTCAGTAATACATAATCAAGAGATGTTGTAGCAGCTATTTTTTATGGAACTTACGGGATTAGTTTAAAAGAGAAAAAAGGACAAAGAATTTTGTGATAAGCCTTATGATTGCAAAGGTTATGAAACTTAATTATAAAGAGTTTGAAATTACAGTCTTTAGATTTTAATTTCACTGCAGCATATGATACCTTCCATAATATGTTTTCAAGTTTTTTCACTGAAAAGATTTGAGATGTTACCTTTTTCTTTACATTTGCTATTATAAAAGGGACTATCTAATATACTTAGCTTTAAAAAGTTTTTTGTTTAAACTGTTGAAGGCTAGTATTCTGGCAAAGATCATGTAGTAGGAGTAGAAAGAAGGACCAAGTAAGTATAAATAAGATACTTGATCCATGGTTCTAATTAGTGATAACTAATGTTTTCCCTGTGTTTGGTTTCTTAAACATTTTAGTTGCTTGAATGTTGAAAACAGTGATGATAATACCAACATCCTTATTCCTCTTTTGGGTTTCTTAATTGCTTATATATGTTTTCCTCACACTATTACTTTAATAAAACAAGAAAAAAGGGACGATTCCTGTGTAAATACACGATTTTTTTTTTTAGCTCTTATACCATTTAGAGGAATATGTTCTTTGCTCTCATCTTTTATTTGACTAGAAATGCCTGAACGCATTTGTTTAAACTTCAATATCAAGTTAATTCTCCAAAAGGAGTATCACTAGGTAGTGATACTTTATTTTAGTTAAATAGAAGCACGGGCATCATTAGGTTTGTTGGTCTTGCTGAATAATGGAATATAAGACTGGATGTATAATCTGTCCAGTATGGTTGGATAGGTTATATCATTCAATATGATGATGCTTTGCTACATATATTTTGGTCTTGCTGGCTAACCAGTTGATAGAATCAATTAAAAGACTTCCAATTGGAAGGTAAAGGTTATGTATTAATGTAAATAATAAAGCAAAGTAACAACAAATTAATAGAATTTCAGGGCTAGAATGAACATTGCTTAATCCAAGGTTATATTTTATATAAGAGGAATCTGAGGCTCTAAAAGTTTTCTTAATTGCCTATCTGGTTTAAGTTATTAAGAGGACTTTAGATTTTAAAAATTAGCTTTTTTTGTGAGTCATCTTTTTATAAGAAATTTGTAGAGAGGTAGTACATGTTAGAAACTTTTATTTTCTATTGTCTTTTTAAGAATCCTGTTAAAAGTCAATGAGGGAAGGTAATGCACAACCAAAACCTGGTGGTTTAACAAGCTCTTCTAAGAAAAATTCAAATTATAGTGTCACTATTATTAAGTAGGCAGTTAAATTTGTAGATAAGAGTAAATCTAGTTCAAAACAGTTTTGAAGGGGAAGCTCAATTTAGAAGTAGGTATTTCTAATCTAAACAAAGCCTCTTTATATAAATAAAGTTGACATAAATAGTTAGAGGCTTATGCTGTACTATGTGTGGCTATTGGAGTATCATTTAATCTGTTCCTAAAAGATCCAGATTTTTAAATCAAGGATTTTATACAAATGTTACAACTAACGAAATTCTTGTAAATCTTCACTAATTTAATTATTTTGGACATTTTTATATAGGCAGTCTGACTCAGCACGCCCTTTTATCATCAAAATAGAATTGAAAGTGACCCAAAGTCAACTCCATGAACTGTGTGTTTTCTATCATATTAAAGCCATGCTTTCTCCTCTTAAGTATTTATCTTTGCATTATAGCAGCACTAAAGTAAACATATTAGTGGCCCATAGACATAAATCTGAACAATTCCATGTGCTATTTTCTAGCTAAATAATTAGCACATAAATGTGTAGTGGCCTATTCATGATGAAGCTGTATGCATACTTTGATCCTACCGCTAGCCATTAGTGATAGTGCTTTTTTAGAGCTGGCTTAAAATATATTTTTCTGAAATATACAAGTGTATAGAATAAATGGAGCCAAGCGCTCAACTATTATTCTGCCTTCAAGCCAAAGTAACTCCTTATACCTCCCTATTACGAACCCTCTAATTCAGGTTGACTATTATGTTATGTTCTGCCATGGAATTAAGAAATTTTAGGCTATTTTATACTATATAATGTACCTCTGGAGATTATACAAGAAATATTTTAGAAAGTGAAATATTTGGAAAATTACACTTTTCAACATATAACCAAAAAGAAACATGTAAATGTACATATTCTTGTTTTCCTTTCTTTTTTTTTTTTTTTTTTTTTTTTTTAGGAGAATTTTTCCTCTTCTATGAGCCTCAAAAAGACTACTGGGGTTTTTTAACCCCCATGACTGTGCCTAGAATCCAGGGCTTAGCAGCTGTATACAAGGACTCTATCTACTACATAGCTGGAACCTGTGGAAATCATCAACGTATGTTTACTGTAGAAGCCTATGATATTGAGCTAAATAAATGGACTCGGAAGAAGGACTTTCCATGTGATGAGTCCATAAATCCGTACCTTAAACTGGTACTTTTCCAGAATAAACTGCATTTATTTGTTCGAGCTACTCAAGTGACCGTTGAAGAACATGTCTTCAGAACCAGCAGGAAAAATTCCCTTTACCAATATGATGACATCACTGACCAATGGATGAAAGTATACGAGACCCCAGACAGGCTCTGGGACCTTGGCCGGCATTTTGAATGTGCTGTTGCTAAACTCTATCCTCAGTGTCTTCAGAAAGTACTTTAATGAGTAGCAGGCCTTAGTGAGCTCACTGGCATCTTGTGCTTGGGGAAACTTAAGTCTTTCATGATCCAAGAAGTGCTGTCAGTATTTAAGAAGCTGAGAGAGTTTGTACATGGCAATGGGTGCTCTTAAAGATTACGGTGTAGGGAGTGATTTCTTTTCATCCTTGTGATGTTTTCATTTCATTAAGCAAAAGGTAACAAAGTGCAATTATCAGCCTTTTTTTTTTCTGGTATAAAAGTAATCATTTTCATTCTAGAATTTTGTGATAATTCATCACTGAGATACCAGATGAATCAACAACTATGCACTCTTATAAGAGCAGTTAGGGTATTATGGTTAGAGACATCCAAACTAGTCTGATGTGACTTTTTATTTTAAATACGGGTAAAAATTTGAGGCAATATCACTAGGCCTTTAGCTGTGACCTCTCCAACACAGAGAAGCACTAACTTAGATCCTCATTCTCTATATATATTTGTGTACTGTTTTCAAGCGTACTGAGATTTAAATGTGTTTTTAGCGTAGGTTGAAGGAAAACAAATATGTCTGAGAAAGAGCTTTTAGTCTGATTGTTTCATATTTCCCATGTAACTTTAAGTTAAGCTAAAGTTTTAGGGTAGCAGTTTTTTGTTGTTGTTGTTGATAACTTTTTCAAGTGCTCACACTGTCTCATTATTTACAAATCCCGAAAAGGGCTTACATTCACAGGTGGCTGGTGCTGGTATAAGTGAATTCATGTGTCTTTCTAGATAGGTTTCAATTGTCTGAGCCTGTGCTTACCTTTCAAGTTGGTATGCTGGTTTCGTGGCATAGTCCTTTACCTGTTGAACTCCTGTGATTTCACAAGATTCTCTGCTTACGTGATAGCAAGATCTCTAACTGGACTCAGTTTTAGAATAATGAGAACATGACACTCAGTTTGCACTAACACGGGCCATTTTGTTGCCCTACCTCCTTTCCCATCTTCCCCCCCATCCCCTCATTATCGGTACAGTGAAAGGTGACTTATTTCTCTTCTGCACAGAGCCTAATGTGAAGTTTTATACCTGCTTTTACAATTTTGTTTTCTAAAAACCTAAAACTCCTGCAGTGGTCTAATTTAATGGCTTTTAAGTTACATATGACCATTAAAACCTCACTTTTTTTTTTGTTTTCTCATTTTTGCACTTAGTAGTAATGTATATTTTTACATTGAAAACCTTGTTCTAGCTGAAGGTGATTGAGAAGGAAAGGGTGAGTGAGTAGAACCATAGCATTGTAGGTACTAAATCACTTTTCATATTGAGTGGATGAATTTCTAACAATCAATAATAGTAATATAAAGGTAATAGTACTATAAAGGACAAACCAACTCATTTGTAATAATCTAAGGTGGATATTTGGATCAGTAACTTGTTTTTTACTATGCCTAGAATAATTGATAAAGGATATAGGGATAGCCCAGAGTCTGTCCTCAAGTAGAACATTTTGATTCTCTTAAAGAAAACAAACTGGCATGGTTTGTATTAAAAACTTGCACAAATTGTAATGTGATACTGTGAAACAAATTTAAAACATTGCCTCTTTGCATCACATACCTCGTTTTTCAGAAACTTTCCAAACTGCTTGTCCTTGACCTCTACAAGTAAGGAACGTTTTCTGAAGCAGAATTTAAAGTGGACAGCATTTATAGAATTAACATTTTAAAATCTAGTCTTAGGAAGTTGGATATGTGGTTTCTTATTGGTCTTGATAATATGTCTATAATCTCTTTATAACCTTTGTCAACCACCTGTTTTTTTCTCTCTAGTTTTTCTTCTGTTTTTCTTTATCTACATGTTGTTGTGGGGCTTTTGCTGTGAGTGTTTTGAAGCATCTTTCCAGTGTTGCATTGCGGAGGGGAGGAGGAAACAAAACTAACTTTTGCAAGAGATGTTCATGTAATTTATTTTTGAAAGCTTTGTTGAATATCTAAGATTTTCTGCCGCTTTTTGACAATCTTCTGTATTTATTTAGAAAAATGTGTTACTTGAAAACATGACATAGAACAGTGAGTTAACAATTTACATGAGCCGTGTGATCTATAGGAGTATAATATACTGTGGCTAATTCTTCATCTGCACAACAGTTGATCCTTTGCTATAACCATTTATATTGGGAGTGTGATCTAAGTATAGTGTGTCAAAGCCAACGTTTAGAATTTGCTACGAGGGTAGAATATATATTGAATTTTGTACGAAGAACTATTTGTTTAAATTATATAACTGGGATATTTTGCCACTTTTTAAAATGATTTCAGAAGAGATCCTAGAGAGCTAAGATTAGTAATTTGTGTGGGTATATATGTTTAGATATTTAAGGTACATTTGCATAGTATGATGAGAATATAAGTAAAAGGCACAATGGGGACTACAGAATTAAAATATAGGCTAACATATGCCAGTCCCACTTGAACTTTGTTTTTGCATTTGAAGAATGTATTTAGCACTTTCCTATATATTTTTTACACATTGAAAACTGGACTTGGTATAACTATGTTATAGGAAAGTAGAAACTGTATTCTTTATTTTCCACCCTCGTTTTCTGTTATCCTACAAAGTTGATGCTTAGGCATCAGGCTGATTTCACTGGTGCATGAGGAGAAGTGGGTGTGCTGTGCAAGGAATCAGATTCCTTCCCTATGTGAAGCAGTTTCAAATGGCATTCAATGTTCAGTGCTCAGGTATGGAGTAAGTACTGTAGTCCTTTGGGGGCAAATGTGTAGATATTTTTAAACATTTTGCCATAATTGCACAATTTTTTGCATTTTTACCTGATGGCATTGTTTCTTATAATAAAATCTTTTCTCACTAAAAACTTCCACTGTTGTAACTTGACCTCTGACTAGTGAGTTCCACAGAATTAAAAGTTGGTGAAAAACATGAAATACCTTCTGTCATAGTAGAATGGAATAAGATTTTAATCTATCAAATATTTGGCCTCTGGTACAAAATGAACTGGTTAATATCACCTAACATAATGCTCTTTAAATTCCAAAGCAAGCTTGCTTATATCAGTAATTCCTTTGTTTGCTTTGCTTTGGCCTAAACTTTTGTTATTCTACTCCTCTCTCATACTTCACATCCAATCCGTCAGAAAATCCTGTCCCTTCTTCAAAATATACCTAGACTCCGACCACATACCACTGTGCACCACTACCACCGGAGTCTAAACTAGCCTATCTTGTCTGCCTTCTTCACCCTTGACTGGTTGTAACCTATTCTGTTCTCCACACAGTAGCCAGAGTGATCCTGTTAAAACACAAGTCAGATGACATCCCTCTTCTGCTCAAACCAGAGCAGAAGGAGATGGCTTCCCATCTCCTCTGGTGTGAGAGCCAGACTCCTTCCTTAAATGATCTACACCTCACAACCCCACCTCTTGGACTTCATCTACCATTCCACCAGCTCACTCTATTCCAGCCTCACGGACTGCTCTTCCTGAAGCACGCCAAGCCCTTCCAACATCACTGCCTTTGTCTTTGCTGTGTCTTTTGCCAAGGAAGCTCTAACAACTCACTTTACTCGAGCCACTATTAAAATTCCAGACAGGACTTCCCTAATCACCTTATGGAAAACTGAACACTCCCAACTCCGCTCGTATACACACCACCTGTCCTTTCCTGCTTTATTTTTCACATATCTACCCCTGTTGAAATGTAAGCTCCATGAAAGCAAGGGATTTGTTCTGTTCAGATCTGAGCCTAGCATATACTAGGCACTCAGTAAATGTTTGTAAAAAGAAATGAATTTTCTGTTAAATCTTAGAAAACCCTGAGAGGTGGTAGAACCCATAGAATCAACTGTTTTATCTGACAGGAAACAAAGACGAAGTCAATTGCTGAAGGTCATCTCACTAATAAGGGGCTCATCTAGGATTAGAACAAAGATTTCCACTTTCACCTTAGCCTAGTTCCTATATGCTCCATTAGTTCCAAACAAAACTGATAGAAAAAGGTAGATGCTTTCCTAAGGCAACACGATTACTCCCCAGTACTATTATTTAAAATATCTACTGGAATTTTTACTGTGATTGATTCTCAGTGACGGAATAGATGAGGTAGGAAAATACCTTCTCTTTGTCACCCCACCTGGATGCCCCATCTTTATATCATTCTGCTAGTATATACTACTGTTATGAGTTCTGTCCCTCAAATAAGGTGAAGAAAAACAAGAAGAAAAGGCTTGGGAAATACTGATTTAGAGTACTGTTATTTTGGTTCTTAAAATGACTTGCCATTTTAAAATCTTGGTTGTATGCCTGTGTTTTTTATTTGCAAATTATTTGCAAATACAAAAACTAAAAGGGGTCTAGTATCTCTAACTCTACAGAGCAATGCTGTAAATAACATCTGCTTGTCTTTTTAAAGTGATATTTGGCATTTTATATAATGGATGTAAATGGGGGGGAAAAGAACATTTTCCTTTCATTTTATGCTTCTAAGATATACTAAAACTTCTTGACGTGGAACTTTGGTAGACAGAGTTCAAGTGTTTTTCAATAGTAAACATGAAGAGGTGGCATTAACTACTACCAGTTCTAGTAAGTATCAAGTTGATGAGTCCTTAATTCTTGTTCTCCACACTTCATTTTGACTACCTGTATCTCTCTGGTAGAAGATCCCAGAACCTAGAAAGTTGGGTACCTGGCTCATGGGTCTGCTGGTTTTCCTTTCTCTTTTGGTAACCAGCTTTAGCCCAGACACTAAATACATAAGGAAGCTACTCTACACATTTGGACAGGTGAATTAATATGGGTGCCATTTCAGAGAAAGGGAAAAATACAGTCACAAAGTAAACATTTAGAGATTTAAATTGCTATGCCATAAAGGCAAAATTTAATCCATGAAAGTGTGAAGTGTATTATGACTGCTGAGGGGGGCACAGTCCAGTATGACTAGGTAACCATGACACAATATTCACTTCCACTTCTTTTCAATCGTGTATTTTTTTTTTTTAAGATTTTATTTACTTTTGAGGGAGAGAGCGAGAGCAGGGGGCGGGGAAGGGCGGTGGGGAGGAGCGAAGGGAGAGGGATAAGCAGACTCCATGCTGAGTGTGGAGCCTGATGGCAGGGCTCGATCCCATGACCCTGAGATCATGACCTGAGCTGAAACCAAGAGTCAGACCTTCAACTGACTGAGCCACCCAGGTGTCCCATAATCTTGTATTTTAAAAGATTAAAATGGTACAAAATGTGCAATAAACTTCTCATTAGCCACCCACTTTATTATTCAAACTCTCATGCTCAAGAACCCTGCTATCAGGTTTTTGGGATCATTGAGATGCCAATCCATGCTCCCCCCTCCTTTTTCACTATCCATCGGCCCCTACTGGGGAACTTTCCTGAACTTAGCCAAGGTCAGTTCCATGATTCATTCAGAATAATGTTATTTTGAGGAACCTCCATACTGTTCTCCAGAGTGGCTGCATCAGTTTGCATTCTCACCAACAGTGCAACAGTGATATTTTGAGAAGACAGAAGTCACTATATAGGCGTTCCCCCATCTCCCTGCCATCTACCTGATTGACCTTTACGGCTTCCAATTGCAACTACTTGCAATTCTTGCTGGCTCCTGGACCTTGCTTGGTCCACTGTCAGGCAGGCTGGAAGTGCCAGAGAGTTAACACCCCTGAGGACTAGCTTCTTTCTAAGGTGGTATACGTGAGGCATGTTCTTACACCATCTCTTAGAGTTCCTCAGTGTAAATGAATCCTTGTAGCCCGTAATAGTAACCTGCTTGATAACCACACCTTCCCTGATTCACTCTCCTACTCTCCTCCCAATACCTCTTGGGACATCCCGCCTCCCCTCAATGAACTTCTGGCACTCAGATCCTTGCTCAGGAATGGTTTCTGCAAAAGCCCAACCTGAGACACTGGCCACTTTTTCAATTCCTCAAGGCTCCTCCCTACATTATTAACTTTGTTCATGCTGTTTCCTGTACTCGGAAATTTCTTCTCTTCATCTGTTCTTTGCATGACCATTTCATTCTCATCTTTCAGGTCTCAAAGAAATCTTCCCTGATAATCCTAGCTAAAATAAATGGCTGATCATGCTTGCTCACACCAGCCAAAGTGGTTTCCTTCCCTTAACTTCTTGTTTCTGTGTCCTCACTAAATAGTCAGTTCCATGAGGGCAGGGGCCAGGTCTATTTGTTATGCAGTGGGTCCCCAGTACCTGGAAACATGTCTAGCACATAACAGACTTTTTAAAAAAATAAATTTTTAATTTCAAAATAGTTTTAATTTATAGAAAAGTTGCAAAGATAGTGCAATGACTTCCCCTATTCCTCACACACACCCTATTATTCACATCTTCTATTAATGAGCCAATGTTGATTATTATTAACCGAATACTTTCATAAATCTTTAGTTTTTATGTAATGTCCTATTTACGTTTCAGGATCCCATCCAGGATGCATTTAGTTGTCATCCTCCATAGGCTCCTCTTGGCTGAGACAGTTTCTCAGACCTTCCTTGTTTTTGATGACTTTGACGGTTTTGATGAGTGCTTATTGAGTCAGATGTTTTGTAGAATGTCCCTCAATTGGCATTTGTCTGATGTTTTTCTTATTTTTAGACTGGAGTTATGTATTTTGGGGAGGAATTTTCCACAGAGGAAAATTACCATTCTATCACATCATCTCAAGGGTATGTACTCTCCATATGATTTAGTGCTGTTGATGTTAACCTTGATCTCCTGGCTGGGATAGTGTTTGTCAGGTTTCTCCACTGTGAAGTTATCCTCCCATTCCACACTGTACCCTTTAGAAGGAAGTCATGATGTGTAGCCCACACTTAAGGAGTGAAGAGTTAACTATCACCTGAGGGTGGGGTATCTACATAAATTATTTGGGATTTTTCTGCACAGATTTGTCTCTTCTCCCTAATCTATTTTTTTATCCAACCACTTCTCTCAGTATGAACTCATGAATATTTATTTTATGCTTTGGATTATAATCCACTACTACTTTATTTTGTGACTCAAATTGTTACAGCTTTGGCCACTGGGAGCTCCTCAGCTGGTGCCTATGCACCTCTGACATACTCCCATCAATGTGAATGGTTTGGGTTGGTTTATTTATTTATTTATTTATTTATTAAACAGAAAGGGAAATACAGTTTGTGCATTAGCTTTCTTTCTTTTCTTTTTTTTTTTTTTAAGATTTTATTTATTTATTTGACAGAGAGACATAGCAAGAGCAGGAACACAAGCAGGGGGAGTGGGAGAGGGAGAAGCAGGCTTCCCACCGAGCAGGGAGCCCGATGCGGGGCTCGATCCCAGGACC